AAAAGTATCTCGTTCTCGCGTTACACGGCACGTCCGTCCGCATAAATTCGAGGACTAAACTGTCATTGCAGAGCTTTTCGCATGGCTACGTCCTTAGATGCAATGCACACTCCGAATTGCAGACACTGGTATTTCGAAGCGTAAGCCCGCGGCATGAGATCTCTATGTGTATCGGTTGTTATTGTGCGCAGCTCAACCAGGGCTGCCCATCATGGAGTTAGTGCATAAACACGTGCCAGTGATGCACTCTGGCGATAATGCAATCTATGTAACGATTGTGTCGGGAGTTTTACCGATATACACATTTCGATACACAGAGAAAAATATCATTCTACCAAGAAAAGAGATTACTCAGTTTATTTTTCTGTTTTTAAGTAATAATTTTCTTCAATAAAGAATATATTCTTGATAATAGTCTTAAAATATACTTATCACAAGTGTTAGAAAATCTCATTATCATGTACTCAAAAGAAGAAATTATTTTCTCTTGAAGAATATTGTAAAGTTGTATCAAAGAAAAATCAAACTTATTTTATGTAGCAAACCAAATTTTTGTTTTAATTTAATATTCTTGACTAAAATACTGCACTTACTAAAATTCAGAATATATTCAATTAAATTTAACTTGTGGTGAACTTGTGATATATTTGCGGATATACAAACTTATGATATACTTAAAATAAATAATATTTACTTGAATACAGTACACATTTTTCTCTGTGTACATGCATAATCTTGTATTTTATTATGATGAAGTTTCTTAAATCACATCGTTTACCAACGAATGTCTTTCCATAATGATATAATTACGTCATCATCATTATTTTGAGAATGCATATATATTTATAAAATTACCGACACAATATCTTCTAGCAAATTGATTTAGTGCATTGATTAATTGCAAAACATATGCAAGCAGGTGAGAAAAAGAAAGAGAAATATCACAGTATTTGCTAATCATTTTTATTTATCTCGCAATAATTTTTCGTACTTAGAAAATTGTTACTGTAATTGCAAGACCATTTTTTTTAATATCCAATATTTATCGAATATTTCTGAACATGACATGCAATTTTTTTATTCTAATGCCATTTCTTCTAATTAAATTATGTATGAGATGTAAATTATGTAGAGATTTAATCTATATCTTTCTTTCTCTTTTATTCATCTAATATAAAATTATTTATAGACTTTTTTACGATTTACATGAAATATCATATATTTCATGATTGAAATCCAAAGAAAAGCATAAGCCTGCTAAGTATCGAATTAATTAGTTATATTTGAAATAATTTTTTTATAAAAATCTCATTTGTGTTGTACACAGAGAACGTTTTTATCTATTTTCGCGTTACTTCAGTCCCCATGGAGATGGTCGTATTTTTTCTCGATACCAATCGGATTCCACGTTCGCGATATCAATCGAATATATTGGTTTTCAGATATATGTGCGCATCGATTCAACAAGTACTGTACGTGTAATTAAATGTGCATTACTGCGAGATTTCATATTTCGCTCGCGTTGGTACTGTGCACAGCTCTGCAATGGCTTTCTGTGCAGCAACATTCTGGCAATCTGCGTCTTGAATAGCAAAGAAAGAAAGAATTTCATTTTCAGGTGACGAATAATGAAATTAGAAAATACAGGCTGTTCCGCAAAAAGCATAAATCAACGGTATTTTCTCTTTGTTTTTCTCTCCCTCTTTTTATTTTGTTTTTTTTTCTCTCTCGTTTTGATAAATGTGAAAATAACTTTTTCTTTCCTAAAAATTGAAAAGCATGATTTAATTTAGAAAATAATATTAAAAATTAAAAAAGATTTTAACGTGAAACGAAGTGTCAGGATTGTAAATAAATAAGAATAAATAAATAGGAAAGAATTTCAATTTGTAATAAATTTTATTTAAACAGAGCTCTCTCTCTCTCTCTCTCTTATCCCTCAAATTTTCACATGTGTCAACTTTTATTTATAATCTACATATAATTTAAAAAATGTAAAGCGTTCCTTGTATATAAAAAACATTAAACAAATTAGCTAAAATTAATAGTTAATCTTTAAAAGTTTTTTTTAAATAAAAAAAAATACATGATTTATGCCACCTTGACATATTTATAGTAATGTATGAGGATGTAAACTTCTCCCTCCCGTCTGATCTCTAATCAGAAATATTCTAGATATATCTACTTCAATTCGGTCTTGAATTTCTCGCTTGATTATTTAACTTAGATAACATGCCGTTACATCTATCTTAATCTATGGTAGGCTTTGTGGGAATGCGAGAATTCTAGAGAATGCGGTTGAGCATGCGAAGCAAACATCGTTAGCATTTCTTTCCTTCATGTGTGGAATAACTTCCATATTTTCTGTGCACATGAGTATTTTGCAAAATTTATTTCTTTTAGGTATTTTTTTGTAAAATACTTAAAATAAATTTGTTGCTACAAAACATATTTTTTAACAATTATTACAATTGCAATGAAATGTCTACTAAATAAGTAATTTGTTATTATTCTGTAAGAATTTTATGATATTAGACATAAATGAAAAAAATATCGATAATTAATTATTATAATAAAATTAATTTGATTAACCAACTTCAACTTCAAGTGAGCTTTACTTTAGCATTTTTAATTTAGTCATTAAGATAGATATTTAATACTAAAAATTAGAAGTTTTTCTGAAAATAGTGGTAATAAAATCTTGATTCATGAAAAATCAACTTTGAGTTTGCTAAAGAATTTTGAAACAAGGTATGTGGTTAAAAGTTCACTCGTGAAACTTTTAACAAAAGTAGGCAATTAAAAGATCGAAAAGAAAAGTTTTTTACTTACAAGGCTTTTGTTTGTTGAATCTTGTACTTTGATTGAGGAACAAATTGCAAGATTATTCGGTTTGCAGTTTTGCATTGTATAAGAAATCAAACTATTTTTTTTTTCAAAACCCAATGTTGCGGAAACTTAGTGGATATTACATTGCACGAAAACATCATTACACATCAAAGGTTTTTCTGCAATATAATATTGGAGTGAATTTTTTTCTTAAGATAAGTCTATAGCAACATTTAAATTCATAATAGAAAATTTCACGATCCGTTAGGTAAACTCAAGCAATTTTTTTAATTTTCCGTTGCACAAGACACGAAAGTGTGCCCGTGGGAAAAGAAATATAGCTTTCCTTTGGACGCTCTTACAAAGAAAATCCCAAGCGCTTAAATATGACGTAGCGACCGCCTTCTCATAATCTGTATTCAACCGCTGTAATCACTTTCGCTCACTTCTTTCCGAGATTGAATTTCACAGGTAGCTGTTTAAAAACCGGAATTTATATTCGGCCGGGCGCATTTACTGCGTCAGAAGATAAGCATCAATGCTACTCGGTCATTAATCATTGATCGAGATTCTTTTTTATTCGTGTCACCGTATATCACTAGATCGTGCGAATTGTATAATTTTTCAATTGAGAAAAGCGTAAAGTCAGCAAGTGCTCTTGTGTATGTGACTCATATGTCTCCATCGATATTGTTGAAACTAGCATTAAGTTTAAATTATTATATATTGCAATATACTTACAATATATATTCAGTAACATCTCTCATTAAATGTTATTATTAATTAATATATTAAATTATTATTCAGATACGCAAATCTTTCGAATCCTTTGATGAGAATATAATATATATGTATGTATGTATATTTGATAGAAAAGTAAATATTTTATGATCTCTTTCTTTCTCTCTCTCTCTTTAATAATAATTCCAGCTAAAAGCTTTGTTTTTTTACGTAGATAGAATCTGCCTTTGAAGTAATTTGGAGCTCAAAGATTGTATGGATTATTGAATCATTATAATATTTTGTATAACACAGTTGTGGCTTCTTACTATAAAGTCCTTTTATTATAGTTCCGTTCTATTTGGCTTCATTTGATTGGCTACGATCAGAAATCACCCTCTAAGATTCAATTTCACTGCAGTGCTGATTGTTATTTGAGAAGATTACGTTACGTTTCTCTTGTAATTGTTTCAGTTGTCTATGCGCTTCTAAGTATTCTTACAATTAGTTTCCATAGGATGTAATCAATAAGGCCTATCGTAAACATCAGTTATTTTATTTTCTTTTTTATTTGTGTAGAATCTTAAATAATATTTCAAAATAAAAAATTAATATGTGTTTCTCTCTCTCTCTCTCTCTCTCTCTCTCTCTCTCTCTCTCTCTCTCTCTCTTTCTCTTTCTCTCTCTCGGTTTCGCTCTCTCTCAAAAAATTATATCTTATGGAAATATTTGCTTTTTATGTTTTTTACTTCAAACTTGCAATTAATATAAAATTTCTAAGAAAAGAGAAAGAGAGGGAGGAAAATTACGTTTTTAGAGCAAGAAAAACTCTATCGATCTATCGCCTGCATCGACGAGAATTTCGATAAACTTCTTACGATTCACTTACAAATCACTCTACCGTACGATTCACCCGAATAACTCACTTTCGACGCCATCATGACTCCCGGAACGATAATGATCCATTAAGAAAGCCGGAACTCTGTCATTCCGGCCAATACTTTCGGTTCGCTCGTTGCCGCCGCGGCTCGATGAGAACCGATCTCGCGCAAAAAGAAGGAAAGGGAGAGATAGAGAGAGAGGGGGAGGAAAAAAGAAGGAGGGACATTAATCGGGAGAATACGGCGCCAGGAACGCGAGGCGAATCCTCTAACTTTCCATCGAACTGGAAACCCTCGTCTTTGTACTTGGCGCGGGACGTCGTCGAGTGCGCAGGATGACGAAAGAGAGAACGGGGTATCGGGTAGGGCGAGTGTTCGCCTCCCGATTCCGGATGAACGGATTTCGTTGAAAGCAGATTTACATTTCTCCCAGGCTCTCTCTACGACGTGTCCCATCCCCGTTCGCTCTATCCATCTCCCTCGCTACCTTCGTAAATTCGCTTTTCTCACGACATTTTTTTTCGTATAATACGGTGTTCTAACGATGGATTCGCGCTTGATTTGTTGCAGGTGGATGCGACCGCGAAGCAGCAGCGAACGAAAGACGAGGACGGGGCGCAATGGAGCGAGATCAGTGTCATCCTTCAGCCATTCCATTACGCGAGTAACGGCCAGTTAATTCTACGTTGCACCGCGCAGATAGCCGGCATCTATTCGACGATGAGCGAGCTTCAGCTTGGCGCGGGTCTACGCGAGCCCGTGCCCGAAAGAGGTGACTATAAAAATTTTATTTTCGTGCCCTGTAGTATCCTATAAACCGCCGGTCACGGATTTCCGTGCCTCATAAATCCCGTCGTCGGATTTCGCAACTCGTTGGCTGTTTTCACCAACTTTGGCGTGTACTATTATGACCGACTCGAGCATTCAAGTCGAATGGCATCGTTTAGAGATCATTACGTTGAAATGAAGAAAAATCGAATGGCCTGCACTCGGCTTACGATTTAACATTTCTCCAAATTGCAATTTAATAGTTCATATTTACGCATTACATTCTTCTACTTCTACATCTAAATCGAAGCATCTATTTGAATGTTAATTGAGTTTTCAACGTGAATATATTCGAGGGAATATCCAAGGTCAACGTAAATTAAATCAAGTCTGATCAAGTTAGTTCAAGTTAAATTATGTTCGATTAGAATCGGATCAGGTTTCTCGGTATCCAATATCGCAATATGCAATCTTACCAGCGGATTAGTACGATATCCTTCTCGTGACATATCGGTAATTATAGCAAATTCAGTGGTAGTGCTCAACGAAAAGATTTTCGGGGGAGAGAAGGAGCGATAAACGGTAAAATGTTGTTTTATACATGTCATGAAATTATTTGATCCGGATGCTCGTCTATTTTTCTCGTTTTTTTTTTGACAATTTTGCGACCAACATTAATACGCGCTCTACGAGTAATAGTCGCGCACGCTCAGGCTACCCGAGCCAGGATTAGTCGGTCGGTCGCACGCGGACTAATAAATTTCGGGAGCTGGGTCCACCCACTTGAAATCGGTAAGGAAGCCTCCGGTGCATGCTGCGCTCGCTTCCTGCACGCGACGTCGACGAGATTTAATTGAGCGGCCACGGATATAACCGACGCTTCCATTACCCTTCCGCTCGACCGACCTGTCCTTTCGCCCTTTGCCCGCCGCATTCGCCGACGTTCCAACTTTCGTCGTCGCGTGTACGTGCGCAGTCACTAGTGCACCGATGATGTCTGCCGTTTCTCTCATGGATGTTGCATAGATGCGAAATAATTCACGAGAGTTTTGCTCTCAGAAATACAGATTTGTAAAGTTGCGAGTCTACTTGAAAATTCTCTATCAGCAAGTTACTCGCAAAATAATAAACCATTTTAATGTATATACCTCTCGGTTATTTTAATCTTTCACGAAAATTATTCTCCGCTCAAGAGAGAGAGATTTGTATTTTAGATTTGTAATTATATTTTTTGAAAAAATATTAATATAATATTATAAAAATATATAATATAATATTATTATATAATATAATATTATATATAATATTTTGTAATATTTATAATATTTATTTATATTTTGTATAATATAATATTTTATCCTTTTAATTTTATCCTTTTAATTTATTTCATTTTATTAGACATGACACTTCGAAAGTAATCATCTTTTATTACAAAATTGTCCTACGTATTGGCCTCGTATTGTCATGTCATTTCGACAAGTTCAATTTTGTTACAATTGCGTCCTATTAATCCTGTGCCAGAGATCGCGAGCTAGTTTAAAACCTAGCTTTGAAGTTGCAGCAGTATGTGTCAATAGATTACACTGATGCAGCTCTCACTAGCAGTGTCCCCGTTGGCAATCCCAATTTTATGATCGCATTCGTACCCTGTGGAATCGAAAAGTATCGTCTGCCGATAATCTATATCCTGGTGTTTTGAATCTGGCTCTCCATGGATTCTGTTCAAAATACGGGTGATTGGATACTTCCGCTCGCTCGACGGTCGGGAAAATATCTAGTGGGTTTTTGCGTATTGTGCAATTCGTCCTGCGAAAATACGATGAACGTATAAGCGCTGTTATACACTTTTTTGTCTCTTTTATATCTTGCTATAATACGATATCCCTTGTTTTCAAAAAAAGCCACGTTATACACGTGTTTTATTGTTTGCTATTATGTGTCGTCCTGTGTGCAGTTTTTTGGTTAATAAATACCATATTCCATTTTTCAACATTCACAATTGAGCGATACTTAAACTGTTATCGCGAAAATCTGGACCAATATTCAAGCTTTTGTTTACATATGTTGCTTCGAACGTCTTTTTTCTTTTTATTGTTAACGAAATGGAGAAATATAAAAATACAAGCTCTCTCTTTCTCTCCTATATTTTGATATTTCATACGATGGTAAAAACTATGCAGGTAAATATCCTATATTTTTATATTTCATACGAGGTAAAAACTATGCAGGTAAATTGACAATTTTCGAGAAAAGAACATTCGGAAACATTTGTAAATGATCAACTTAAAAGGAACTGTCAATAAAGAAAACCGCAGCCAGCATTAAAAATATTAAGGAGAATTTAACATCAAAGTGCTCAAAGAAACTATGGATAAAGCGTAGTACGAGAAAGCTAAAACTCTATATAGAAATTTGAAAGATCTTGTCTCGACATTGCGGATGTAAGCTTTTATACGCGAAAAGATATAGAATATATTTGCGCTCGGTATAATATGGGGAATGTTGCCGTACATTTTTTAGTGATTTTCTCTTCCGCTGACGTGAACTGAAGTTTAATATGTGAAACGACTGCAAAGTAGATGGATGACTTGAAGAGATGGTTGGCAGGTGTTGTCGCAAAGACCGTCGCGAAGAATGTTCATGAATTCGCCGACGTAGTTGGTGCCTCGGAAAACTTCTTATCACGACATTGAGGACGATGCTGACGAGCGTATGATACGCAGCGTGTGTGCCGCTTTAATATGTCAAGCTGATAAACTCGCGTTATTTCGATATAGCCAATCAACTATGCAGTGGTAAACCAGAGTTATTCCGAGGTAGGTAATCAACTATGCTGCGGTAGACCGAAATATCACACGTAATATGAAGCTGAAGTACAGCGAGATATTATAGTATCTATTGTTAACAGCATAATACGCACGTCACCCTAGTAAGTTGCGATATTCTCTGTTCCCAGATCTATCGGTCGCTGATGAATTCTATTGGCGATATCAATAAAACATTTTGACATACAATCTGCCGGATAATCCCTTTTCCAAAATGCGCATATACATTTTGCGAAAATAAAGGAAAGCCATTTGTACCCGAAACGAAATTAACGCGCGTACATTCAATCCTGTATACAAGTTGACTAGTTGCCAGCGGCGTGAATTTAATAAATCGCAGCGGAATGTGGATTACGAAACATATAAAAATTTCGATTTTAGCGCATAGCGGCATTTATCAAAAGTTGGTACATGTCTGACGGTACCATAATCACTTTTCCGCTGGGTCGTGTATTAATCTCTCGACATTTTTCGTTAAATATTATTCGCATCTGTCGAGCTACTGTACCGTTAAACTACCGGGGAGCTTGGTTCACCTCACATTTATTTATTTTGAAAAGGCCGGGGGTCTATATCCCGACGAAAGCGAGACGTACATTTTATTTTCAATGACATTTGTCCGATAACATTTAATAAGCGCCGATCGCATGCAGCATGCAGCATTCTACAAAAGACTTGTATGGGATTTACAGAAAATAAAAGCGACCACAAAAATAGCATTTTTCGTTTACACTCGTTTTTTCATTTCAATAATTCGTCTTTTATAGAATGCCCGATTTATAACAGAGATGTAACACAATTTTCAACATAAAATGTCCAATTTCTAACATAGGTGTAACATAAGTATAACACAATATACAACATAAAACGTTAAAATGCATTTTTTTATTTAGCCATTTTATAGGATAGTTAATACTAAAAAATTTATTGATAACGTAATTTTAAATATTTTTTTATTTAAATTTTGATATATAGTTTTATATAATTTGATTACAAGTACATCTATTAATTGCTATATGATTGCTTATAATTTGCATGTTTATTTATTTAATATATAATGTAATATAATTTATTATTCAATATTTCTGCTAACACAAAGTAACATTTATAATATTTAAAATTTATATATATACATATAACTGTATATGTGTGTGTGGACTAAAAAATAATACGTGTACATGAAAATATTTAATATAAAGTTTATTTTACTACATCTATAGCGGTAAAAATGTTACGTCAAATTGATAATATTAGATTCATATTTGTTAAGATTTTATTCTTTAATTTAAGACACATGCACGTTATAATTGCATTCAGAGACACGTAAAGTTAAGTAAAAATAAGTTTAAAAGTAAATAACGATATGTATGCAAATATACTTCTTGATTAACATTGATCGATACTTGTTTCGTATTCGAGTTACGGAACTTGTATACAGGAATATAATCAGTTGAGCCAGGAAATGCATTCGCTCTCAGATGATATCATATAACATTTCTCTGCGCGCGTTACGAGAAATTGTCTTTGCTCTGGAGAATTTGTTCCCATGCAGAAAAACTCGGGTCGTGTACACGGAAGTTTAACAGCAGGCTACTGCGGAATTGCTGTAGATTTCGATGTACGCTTCCGTCCTCGCTACCGCTCCCCCATACGCCGATGGTACAAGACACGAAAGATTCGGTACTTCGTTGGGGAAACTTGCCCGAGACGAGATGACAGTCCTCACGTCGAAACTTTGGTCTTGCTCTTTCTCTTTCTCTCTGTCTCATCATGTTTCCTTCTCGTTCCCTTATCCTTAATATATCCTTCCTCTAAAATCCCCCTCTCTTCCTCATTCCCCAGTTTTGTGAATTATCCAAGTCCCGGGACGCTAATCTCACATGTACGACGGCGAACGAGGTAAGAAGAAAGAGATTTGAATGTCTTTGGACCTGAGGGATGCCATCTCGTTTGCTGTCAAAAGTTACACTGCAGTATATCTGTGCGTATTCTGCGTTTGAGTATACATGCTAAAATACATAAAGTGATTTGGAATAACACGACTGTACAGTTAGAAATAATTCCGCATTGTTTCATTGCGGAACAAATTAATTTTACTATCAAACATTTAATTAATTTGTCTGTATAATTAAAATCTCATTATCGTATCTCATTAACGAAACCTTTTCATGCGCGTTATCTGTCCGTTTCACATGGTTTACACACAACATTGCTACGATTATTCGATACGTAATCTTTCTATTCAATTGCATTTTAACAAACATCGTTTGCAATTTATAGAGATTATTCATCGATACGCTGGAAGACATCAACATTTGTTAATCGTATACCACATATTTGTAAAACTATTTTTAAAATTATTATTTTACCTCCTGGGTCAAGTACCAAATCTAGAGGCATTTTCTCGTATACGTCATGTATGTGTAAATTCACGTTAGCCGGTCGCGTTGCATCGAAGCGAAAGTATCCCGGGCGCGCTTTAAGAGTAGTTGTTACCAAAGCTTTGCATACCCGATTATACCCGGCTTTTGTTCCCATGTAAACTCCACTGGGCGAAGAAAACGCACAACGCTTTTCGATCGACTTACCCTTCTTCAAGCGACGCTTATCGACTGCCCGGCTTCGCGCAGTAGACACAGCCATCTCCCATCAGCCAGATAGGGAAATGGCTCGCGCTGCGCTCCGACGTGCTTCTCTTCTACAAACGGCAGATGTGCGAAAGCCTGGATGATTGATCGCTGACACTTCCACTGTCATTATCGGAAGTGTCATGTAACTGATCGTTTTAAGACAGATTAAGATAAACCTTTCGCTTCGAGCAATCCATTTGCAATATTTTCATCGAAATAATATGCCTTTTAAGTATCAGCATTTAAAAAAAATTTGCGCACAAAAATTTGAAAATTATAGGAAGGATATTTTTATATTTAAAAGGAAATTATATTTCTCACTCGTCTCATAAATCTGCAAAATTCTACGCTCGGAGCAGTCGAGTTGCAATTTAATTAATGAGAGGCATGACACAAGCAAGATCTGTGAAGAATAAATACAATTCCGAAATTAAAATAACATGGTTATAGGAAATTTTCGAGTTACGGTGAATCAGGATTCTACTCTCAAGTTGTGTACGAACTCATTTTCAGGTGTCTGAAATTTATTGGTTTATGTCGAACTTCACCGAGTTTCTGATTACTTGTGAATATCCGATTAGTTTCGAGCGTAGGAAAATAAATGGATTACCGCAAGACGTGGAAAATGAGGACTTTTCGATTTAAGCTTATCCTATGGGTAAAGAAGTTATCAGAGCGGCATCGTATGCATTTATTTACATTCAAAACTTTACACGTATAATATAAGTACAATATACGTTGTAGACGTCGAGACGTATTGGTTCCCGCTTTTGAAAGCACGTAATAATATTTTTGAAATATATTCCGAGTGCAATGTTGTTACGATATATTCTTGTAGATATTTATCTTTATTCTGCTATATTTTTCTATTATTTCCCTCGGTGCCATTTATTTCAATATAAATTTAAATATATAGCACAATTTATATGTGTATAAATCTTGAATTTTATTTGCTCTCCGGTAAAATTAAATCAAATTAATTATACTAAGATTCAATTTAACCAAGTACATCATTAATTACCTCGTTAAATGTGGGTAATTTAGAGATACATTTTAATGCATATTAAAATATCTTATAATTGGACAACTGTATCAATTGCATATAAATGACTCGTAAATGCGGCATAGAAATGTTGCTCCGTTAATTGCGTGCACCTCACGAAAGTAACTTTTGACCAGTTTCTCGCTGCAATGCGCATGGAGACTTTCGTGCAAACGATGACAGAAACGCATTTTGGTTGTGTGCTTAAGTGAATCGTTTCTCCGAAACTTTCCGAGGACTCGTGACACAAACTTACGAGCACTGGACTCATGAAGTTGGCTCAAGAGTTTTTACATCAAGAACTCTTTGGATTTCACGGCCTAGACCTCACGCACTTTTCAGGTCGCGGTGGACGTTTTCAATCCTTCTGAAAGGCTTTTACCGAAAATCCATAAACGATACCTTACATAAGCTGTTCTTACATTCACCTTGCATTTATATACGCCATATAAAAATCTGATTTCACGTTTACGAAGGATATGAAAGTTCTGTTCAACAACTCACTTTGTATATATTATACATTTCATATATAATAAATACACTCTCTGAAGCAACTCTGTACAAATTCACTCGGTATTCATTATGCTGTATATGAACTACGAAAGAAATATCACTATGAAATATGAAAAAAGATATTATTCTTTTATCCGATTTTACCTATATATTTTCTCGCAAATTTGAAATAATAAATTCTAAAATAGCTGAAGCTACAGTTGAAAGAAAAGTTTTGATGAATATACTTTTTATATATTAATATTTTACACAGGATATTTAAATATGCATGAAAAAGTACTGCGTGTGGCGCAGCATGCGATATCGTTAGAGATGAGCAGATTATATTCATCATTTTTTATGTGCAAGTGGAATATTCCAAAAGTAATATCAACGATCGCTATCGAGTGAGCCGCTTTCTGGAATGTTTGCAATTTTGCCACCGTTCGCAAAACTCTCGTACATTTTGGAATAAATTTGATAGGAGCAGACTGGGGAAACCACGACGATTGATAAGCGACTAAAGGAGATTTCGGCCCTCCTCAATTTTCAAACCTGTCAGAGTTTATTCCACTTTAGTCCCTCTACCTTTAGTTCGCTACTACCGTTACAGAAATTCATTCTCTTTTGCGCCCGTAGTAATTTCATTTCGTTCACACTCGGTTTTCCGCGGCCGGCTGGTTGCTTGATTCGTACGTATTACTCCCTGGGCCGTGGTCGACAGAATTGTTTTTAGGAAATTGACTTTTCCACCCGACAGAAGGAACAATGCCCCGCGGAGGAAAATCCACTGACGTTCCACTTAATGGCGCTCTCCCGCCGCTTGCGCGCCAGAGTTTCCATTCTGAAAGGGATTTCAACAGTTGACACGCTTCGCCTTGCCAACGAGATTTAATCTTGGGCAGGAAGAAAAATGTCGTTTTCCGTGAAATCCATCTCTAATAATCTATCATATTTTAAATATAATTTTTTCTACCTAAGCAAACTTTCTTAAGGAAATAGGGAAGAGAGAGTGAGAGATGCAATTAATTTTTTTTTTTACTTTGTCACTCTCTCTTCATTTTTTCTTATAAACTTATAAACTTCAAAACAGGAAGTATATTTATTTTTTTATTCCTTTGCAGATTTAAGAAATTGGATTTGAATCAATTTTATCAAATTTCTTCATAAAATGTACATGAAAATGTTTCTCTTTTTGACGCAAGAAAGGATTCGATAGTAAAGGCACTTACAGCTGTATATTTAAATTTTTCCAAAGATTAGATAATCTTCTTTCACAACATAATATTTTTTATTCATATTTCAGCCATTTGCTCATAATGTAGAATTTTAAAAGTAAGTAATTCGTTTATTCTCTTCTTGAATTACATGTACAGAACGCATGTGGATTAACTGAATATTATTACTACCATATACTATATTATTGAAGAATAGTAGTCGTATGTACATATACAGCATAATTACAACATTATTCACGCATGGTATATCTGTCAACATGTCAACATTAGAATCATGTTTGTTACCTATGTGCGCTTAATTTTCACATGTTACATTTACAGACGATAATGCCAAAGCGTACAAGCCAAACTAAAATCAACTGATTATCGGCGACATATTTCTCGACGAATTTAATATCTATTCACTAGATTTCGTGTGCATTTCTGTCCGACAGACATGTGTCGTTATTGCCGCTGTTATTGATTATAAGCATGTCGTTGCTGAACGTAGCGCATAATGATGACGTTTTAATGATACGATGAAATTTAATGCAGAATATGTTTAGTAATCAATATCCAGTGACGCCAGGCAGCACATTATCCAATTCCTATCTTATTTCTTTCGTTTATAATACTGTACAGATTTTGTATAAATTATTTAATCTAAAAAAAATAAAGTTTCAACGAGAACGATACACGATACACTGATACGTGCCATCGTTCTGTGCAAATAGAGACCATGTAACGCATATAAATTCTGCAAAGATACTAAAAATTCGAATGCAGTATAGAGAGAGAGTTTGTGATAAAATGTTCAACTTGGAAAAACTTCCTCTCTTTTATTGAATTTTTTTCTTTTTTGCGATATGATGAATAATAAAATAATCTGTAATCCAATTTTAATGTATAGTTTTAATTGTAAATTGTGTTGTAGGAAAGTTCTTCAAAGAGAATATTAAAAATATGATATGTCGATCTATTATTATTGAACATCCTTCTTCAATCTTTTCACAACTGAATATTATATTATTCAAAATTATATTTTCTCTTTTAATACATTTACATTATGCCATATTTTTTATTTAGCACATAATATTAATAAAATAGATTTTTATTTATGCAATGTTAAAGCATAAAAGATTGAAATGTAGTTGAAAAATTAAATGCAATATGAAAAAAGGCAACTTGATTTATTCTTTAATATATTGTATAAACACGTATAAATATATTGTATAAATGTCTGAGATACATAAAGCGTTTACTATATATTTTAGTATTGAAAATAATTCAATTACGCTTTTACACATTGTTAAAAATTACCCAAGTCTGTCAGAAAAATGATTTTGTAATATTTAACGTTGCGAAAACGGCGTCTGTTCAATTGCGATGAGAAATAGTAACCTTTTTCTAACATATGTTGCAGTAACCTCAGAAAACGGAAGCGACTCACACACGATGACGTTTGTGACAATACTCTGCCTGGGCATGCTCCATCTGCTTCTGAGATAGTCACGGCACGTCTGAGACTACGAGAAGGGAGCTCACGGGCGTCGCATGATAAATAGCACACTAGTCAGCAAGAGGAGGGGCTGGAGAAAGAGAGGACAGAGTTTAAGGACCGCGTATGGATGGCGCAGAAACAAATAATATTGTTAATTTGATATATTTACTTAAGCATTTCCTCTTTTTTTCTCTCGTCTGGTACATTGAATTCCGTATATATATATTTTTTAGAACGCGTTTGAGATCGTGAATTCTGCATGTTATCCGGGTTTTCGTTCGTGAGATTTTTAACAACGATATGGTAGTAAAATTCGATCGGTGATCCGATTTTTCGAATCTCTTTGAACACTGCCATTAAACTGCCACGAAATTAGAATCAAAAAGATGCGACGTTTAATGTCTGAAACTTTGCCGACCGTTGATTGTTGTCGTTATATATTTTTCAATCGCATTTTTCTTATAACTCATTTTGTAAGATGTGCCCGTACGCGCGGATTGTTTCTCGTTTGTCTTTTCAATATACAGAGGGATAGAAGAGAACGTGATGAGCGCGTGCGTCAAAGGCTAACGTGTATTCCGACCGTGATTGGACCGGTGGAGAAATAGTTGATGGGACAAAATAATGCGCATCTAAATCCGCTGCTGAAAGACTTGCGCTTTACAACACGAAGAAACGGAGAAAGCGTAGCCAATTAGTCGCGTTCGATTATTGCCACGACGCTCAATTTGAGATTCGATGAGTAATGAAAAGGGATTCGTCCAAGAATTGAGCGAGACAGCGAGAAAGAAGGGAAAGGATACGACTTTGAAGTCTGTTGCACGTATACACGTCTATAGGTGCTTGTACAGCCCGCCTCTGAAGGATTTTGCGATCTTTGCCGCGAAAAAAAGTATGTGCGTGTATGTATGTGTGCGTGTAAGAGAAAGAAAGAGAGAGAGAGAGAATGAAAGAAAAAGAGAGAAAGTGAAAGACGTTCTCTTCCGCTACATCACTGACAAGAGACCCGAACCGGAGAGATCGCACAAAGGAAGAGGTACGGATAAAGCGGTGCGAAAAGTTTTCGCATACCAAACGAGAGAATTTCTGCTCTGCGAAATCGTATCTCTCTCGTACCTCAGTAACAACGCACTGTGCGCATTCGAATATCTCCCCGTTACACTCGCCTAGGACGAATATGGCGATGGAGAGTCCATTTGTCCATTGTCCAAACGCTCCCGGGCTCGCTCGCGTAGTCGGATCAATGTCGTGAATTTCGAAACGGAGGACTCTCTGGACGCGCGCGCGGAATACACTGTTGCAGCTCTTTTTTTTCTAACATAAGTTATCGTTTTTTTCACTTTCTGCATACGAGAGAACGACGTGGTTGTCGTTGCGGACGAGTGCGACTGTAAACGAGCGGGTATGTATTTACGCCGATCGCTTATTTTCCATTTCGCGTACGATTCGTTCTAGCGATAAATTTGTTGCTCGATCGAGATACTCGTTTAATAAAACGCTAAACAAAAAAGACAAATTTTGATTTCGAAGCTGTTTTTTCCATGTATTTTTTTTAACGCAGCTAGGTACATTTTTTATGTTTTTCGCTGCCTTAATATTTATCCACATATTTTGAAGCGCAGCATTTAAACTAGATGGGTAGCAATTTCCGACGTTTGCGCTGTCAAGTTCTTGGACAAGTATTTCGAAATTATTTGCAACTATTTGAAAATATTTGAAACTACACTGAGAAAAATCGTTTGATTGTACCAACAAGACGTATATGATTGAAGGCATTTTGGTTAAATCAAACAAGAATTTCTAGTTATCATGATAAGATTCGATTTTTTATAACTAGAACGTTTAATAGATTTTACTATAAGGATTTGATTAGTATTTTCTGGTTGAATCTATAAAATTTCTTGTTACATTAATTTCACACTCTTAACTTAACTCGTATTCAATATTTGCCCTAAAATGTATATAAAGATTTAATATTAACATTAAATCCAAAGTATATTTTTTTTCTCTTACGAGCAGTAATGCCAGAAAGAGGACGCTGGTTCTCTGATTGTGTGTATTTGAGCTGCATCCTCTTCTTGCATTACTATTTATCAGTTTAATTTCTAACAAACTGAGCTTAAAATAATTTTTATTCAATAATCTGGATTGAATTTATGCGATAATCGTGTTGAAATTCAGAATATTAAACAGACTTTTGAGATTAGATGGAAAAAATTTTAAATGACTTGGTGCTGGTGAGTTTAGTATTTGGTAAATTTAACAGGAAGAAATTAATCAGATTCATCTGGTAATTCCTACAAAAATTCTGATTCGTCCATTTTTCAACAGACATATTGGTTGAATTTACCAGAATTCTAATTGATACAACCAAATTTTTTTCTCAGTGTATTTGCAAATATATGTAAATAGACGTAGCTGGGCGTGTAATTTGGAAGTAATCGATCGGTACAGAGCTCGATTTATCGAAGGAGATAGAAGAGAAAGTAACGCGCTGGAAAGACTGGCACGAACGTTGCGTTTTTCATTCTTTCCCCGTTTATGCTTTCTTTATTAAACGGACGATAAACCTCGCGAGCGATTTCGCGCGTCTATAAGTCGGCTACATAAACCGCGCAGCTGAACAGAAATCGCATCTGTATTAACTCCTATCCCTCTTTCTCAGACACGGAACGTTTCTTTCCTTAGCTCTTTCTTTTGCTGTCGCTTTCCACGTGCACACGATAATATTTGGCATGATCGTCTGCAAATCTTCGCGACATGAAGCGTATCGGCGTGAAACTGCATCATGCAAATGCTTATTTTTCACGAGCAGATTCGTCGAGTTCCAATTGGTACGATAAATCGCGCCAAATCGGTATCGGGCGTGCTAATATTCCGTGCCACGCTCAAAATAAAGATCGAGTTTTAGTGAGAAGCTCGAAGTGCGCTCTTCGAAAGTTTATAGGATTAATAATTTATAGTGATACTCGTGAACGTTACATTGTTAAGTTAAAAAATATGTAGAAACGCAATGGCATACATTTTCACAATCATATTGTTAACGTTATATTTTTAAACTCGAGCTGTTTGCTTTTAATTTATAGAATGAAAAAAATGTTACTTTGTGGATGAATACATAAAATATGCTGTTAAGTAATTTGATATGAAAATTTCATTTACAAATGTTGACTGAAATATAGCTCACAATCAGACAGGATTCATTCTTTTGAAAACAGTTAAATCTCTACGCTTGAGGTGAAAAAGCTTTTATAATTAGGTCAGATGGAATAGCTCGATTTATTTTATTGATAGTTTACGATATTTCCAAAGAGAAATAATGTAAGTAATTACACGTATATAATAACTTCTCCGAGATATAATTAAAATTATAATTTGATACAACGCAATCTGAAAGTATGGTAAATATTTCATTAAGTCAGATTTTAATTCTACTTAAGTCTCTTTTTATTTTTAAGATCTTTTAAATTGCATTTACATTTTCGAACATTAATTTAATTAATATGTACATAGTTATTTTTATTATATGTAATAAACTACTGCATGTGAAACTACTGTCTTTTACCGACACGCAATCCATGAAACTATCTTTACAATCTTATTTTCAGCCGGTTGAAAACAGTATCTCGTTGATGCGGACGTTTTCATTCCCCGACAATTGCACCCGCAATCAGATCGAAGAATTTCCACAGACGCGCATAAATACATCCTCCCGGCGGTGCTCGCCCTATTCGACCTCTCGCCTCCTCCCACGATGATACTGCGCGCGCGCGCGCGCCCGCGACTTCTAAAATTCATTGCCCAAGCACCGAGTCTATAGATGAAACCCACAATTAACCCGAATCGAGATCTCGCTCTCACCCTTTCCATACAACTCGATTCCGGGCGAAGTCTTAGAAGGAGCCCGTGCTCGCGCAAGCTCCAAGTTTGCACGACGAATATACGCTGCGCCCAGGCAAGGCAGGTACAACCGCCGAGAAGATAGCGTGTACCGCACGGGAAACCCCGTTACGGTGTTTGTGCATCTCGTATGTGTGCACGTGCGCGCGCGGTACGTTTGTTTGAGATGGTGTACGTGGCATGCGGTATGCGGCGTACGTTGGTGCGCGTAGCACGTCTGTACATCTCGAGGATAGTTCCTTCCCCACACCGACGCGACAAAGGAAACGACGTTTCAGCTAACTGAAACGTCGTCGCCGTAACAATCACCACCTCAGTCGACTAGACTATCCTTCGCTCCCCGTAACCCTCCGTCTCTCGTTTCGCCCGGCTCCTCTATTTGCCCCCTCGAGTCGCGCGAGTTTCGTCTCTTCAGTCTGTTGTGCCGATGTTGAAAGCCGAGCTATGGCAGAGCGAGAATGCCGCGAATCTGTACTCTGGCGGCTGCTGCGGTACTCCCGCGGTGCTATTCGCTGGTATAGTGCGACTCGGTTGCCATAGCTGATTCAAAATAAACTTTGTTTCGCCGCTCGCGCTGATACCTACCTGTCTGACTAGCTGGTTGGCTTGGTTGCTTGCTTGCTTGTCCGACCTCGTTGTGCACGTGATCGCACTCGTTGCTGACGAAAGCTCTTCCCTGCCATCCCCCTCACCTGAAGCATCAGCCACTCTGTAGCTCCCCACGCTCGTTATGCTTCGATAATGTTTGGCGCGATGTTTCGTTTCCAAATTAGTTATACATCTATTTACCAATTGTACGGTGTTTTTTGAATTATCCTTTACTGATGCGATTGCAGCATCGATACATGCGACTGGTGTCTCAGCAAAGAATGCAAAGATTCATTCAAGTCTTATGAAATGAACCTTGTGTAATACCTGTCGTATGCCTGAATTTTTAATCGTATGAAAATCATATGTAATCTTTGCGTTTTTCGTCTCAATTAATAGCATTTAGAATGAAATTTTTGATATGATTCGATCGTGCAATATGGGGTTCTTTCATTAATATAACATTATATAACATAATAAATTTTAAAGAATTGAATGGTCTTTGTTAACAGAAATAAGGATGTAAAAAAGAGAAGTGCATCCTATGTTTCTCATGAATAATCTTTTGCTATTATTACAAAGCGTCTTTCTCATGACAGATACACATAACATGTGGAGAAGCAATTTGCAATTCGTATACGTATATGATTTTGCAATACATCTTACAAGAAATAAGAAAGAATAAAATTCACTACATTTGAAAAGGTTTACTTTTGCGGATGATATAAATATTCCATTTCATTCTTATTTCCGTAATATATTTTCTACAATTTTTTTCTATAAAAATAACTGTTTTGATTCTCTC